ATTGCACACGTGACTATGATATATTTATTACAATTATAAATAAATGATCCATAAGTGTTTCTTAATTCTAATGCTATGTAACTAATGCATGTCCAAATCTATAGCAATGTTAAGTCAATGGATAATGTTTTTCATATAAAGTGCTTGCTTTAGATACGTTTTCTATTAATCACCTGAATTAACCTGTGGTTTGTCTATTTATATTGATATACAATTTATTTTAATATATTTAATGTAATACTTCATAATTTATAATTAAACATATCTTTTAATAAATAATTAATTGTAATGGTAATTAATTAAACACTAATAATTAATTGTATAATGATGGTTTCATCAAAAACATTTAACATTATCTTGTATTTTTAAAAAATTAAAATAAAAAAAGTAAATAAAATAACAAATGTCAAAATTCAGTTAATATGACCATGCATTGCAGTATATGTGGTAAGCATTTAAGAATATATACAGCGATGCAATAAAAAACAATAAAAATCAATATTCTCTATGGATTCTGCGCTACAGAATCTATATTACAGTTTATTCACGCAATAAATGTTTATGTTTCATAATACAAATTGTTAGATCACACCCACCCTATAAATAAAACTAAATACCATCAGGAAATAAATACTAAAACATTAAATTATCTTAATTTTAAAATATTTAATATTATATTTATATTATAATGTATAAAAATAATAATAATTGTGTTTTAATATTAAATATAATTAATCAGATATTTGTAAATAATTTATACTATTGTTATAGTATTGGTGTCAAAGAATATTCTGATGTTAAACAACACCAAGAATGCAATTATACGGCACATGAAAATGGGTGTCCGAGTGATGAGGGAATGGTATGTTTGGACAACAAGTGTATGTGTATTGAGGAATATGTTGATGTAAACGGTGAGTGTCTGAGGCCAGCACTGGTAGGAGAGTCCTGTATCTCTTCAAAACAATGTTCACAATTGGACGCAAACGCCCAGTGCTTTGCCATCGATGACCGGTTCCAGTCGTGGAGATGTCAGTGCCATCAGGACTACTACTACTACTCCATCAATAACAGCACCGGTAGCGGGAAGTGCACAAAGAAATTACTTTATGGTGAAAAGTGTTTGACAAGTGACCAGTGTTTCAGTGGCCACAGTGTATGCAATAGTGAGGGCACAACACATCACTGTATTTGTGAACACAATTACACGTTTGACGCGACGACCAATCAGTGCAGACATAACGGCAGCTATTTTTGTGGTACTGAAGAGGAATGGAATCAATTGAGTGGCAAATGTCAGCAAAAACAATCCTACAGTCACTACTATTACAACCATGGTGGACATTGTAAACACCAATTAATTATACAATAATTTCAATTATTTTGATTTTAATTATTTCTATGTATTTCTAGCACCAGGTTATACATGGGGTCATAGTAACTACCGGAGCAGCACATGTGGCGACGACCCGGATTGCAGGCAATGGCTGTTTTTGATGTTTGCGGCCACGTTTGTCGTATTTGGCATTTGTTTTTGTCGATTTGTATTGAAAAAGCCTAACAAACCGGCGACACCCGAGTGCGGGAACACAAGGGCTGGACGACAGGTGCCCGGGATTGTGGTCCGGGGGGCCAATACCGACTTCTCATGCGCTGTTATCAACCCTATCGGCAATCACAGGGAAAACACCACCGGTTCTGGAGGTAATTCAAGGGGTAATTCGCCCCACCATTCGCGGGCTAACTCGCGCACAAATAGCCGGGTGTCCACTGTTTACGGACCGCCGCCGGCGTATAACAGCATCCATGAGAACGTACCGCTGCCGGACAGTCCGCCGCCACCGCCTTACTGGCCACCGGCGCCCGGATTTATACTGCCTTATACTTCGTCATCGCAACAGCACATACAGTCCGCCAGCGGTGGCAGCGCTGGCGCTGACCGACAGATTCGCCGACACTCGGCTGTGGACGACATGTTTTACAATCGCAGCCCCAGTCGGTCACCGGCGCAACAGTTCACACCATTGGCCACCAATAATACATTTAATACTCTGGGCTATAGTCTGCGGCTGAAGGGACAACAGCCCCGACCCCGGAGTACAGACAATAGCCCAGTGAGACATCCGTTGTATGTCGACCTAATACAGGCGCCCACCGCTCCGTCCGTCGATACTTAACTAGTTTTATTGTTTGACAATTAATTTACAAGTTCAAAGTTTATGACTTTATTTAATTGCTGTTGTAATGTATGTTTGGAATTCGGCTTTTTGACCAAGCTTTTTAATTTTATAATTATATTTATTGTATAATTGTAACAATTATACGCACATTTTGCATTGTTAACTGCAATTAAGACTACAAGTTTATAGAACTACTCTGATCCAGTTCATTTATACTTTAAGCATAATTATACACATGCCTTTGAATATTACTCATTGAATTTATCAATAAATAATTAATTTATAAATATTTTTGCATTAGTTTATTGGAATTAAAAATATAAATATTGTACTTTACAATATACTGTACTTGAAAATACTGTCTTATGTAATAAAGGTTATATAATATTGATATTACAAAATATTACTCAATCTATTGCAAACCATGATGCAAGAATTGGCTAAAAATAGAGTCATGTGTTGTTAAATATACAACAAAATCAATATTTCCTCATAGATTCTGTGCTATAGAATGTGTATTCTGTTTGTATTCATTCATTATATTTGAACGACTTTTACACATGTCATGACAAAAATAGCCACACATTATAAGTTTCACCGTAATCAACCGTAAACAAAATACTGTTAAGTATTACATAAATGTCATTTTATGTCATCTAACATCCAGATAGATTCTGATATTGTTTTTATAACGAGGTTTACTATTTTAAAAGTGTTAATTATATTTAAAAATATTTATTTTAATACATGTATTCAATAATAATAATAACTATATTAATAGTTTGTATAATTAATATTATTAATACTAGTCCAATTAATAACACAAATAATAAACTTAATTTAATTGAGAAATTATCACTTAAAATAGCAAAACATACTTTAAATCAGAAATGTAATTATCAAAACTACAGCACTGGGTGTCCGGTCGACGCGGCACAGGTGTGTCGTGGGTTCAGGTGTCGGTGTAATGAGAGTTATCCCATAGAATGGTTGGGACAATGCCTACCCTGGGTATCGGTGAACGGCCCGTGTTTTACATCTAAACAGTGCTCGGAATGGGACACAAACTCCCGGTGCTATACCATTGATGACCGGTTCCAGTCGGGCACATGTCTGTGCCTTCAGGACTATTACTACGATAACAGCACTTGTGTTGACTCGTGTGTTAAACGCGTGGCTTTCGGCGAATGGTGTCCTGAGAGTGACCACTGTTTTCACGGCAACAGTGTTTGCGATAACACAACCTATTGGTGCCGCTGCGGCCATAACTACACGTATGATTTGTCAGTCAATCGGTGTCGACATAACAACAGCTACGGGTGCGCCGAAGACCAGGAGTGGGTCGAGTCCAGAGGTCAATGCGTGGCCAAACACCCCTATATGTCAGGTATTGTTTATAATAATCAATGGTAAAAATATAAATTTATAAAATAAATCTATAAATATAAAGATTTATAATATATGCATATTATACATTTTCAGTGGCCATACGAATACCATCAATAAAAATACCGGCCGTACGGGTGGGCGGATTTCGCGGTGGGGGCAAGATTGGGACTGTTGGTGGTGGTAGTCGAGGGTCTGTACAGGGGTTCCGGCCAGTAGTAGTGGGCGCGTACGGCCACCGCAGTTATAATACGGAAGACTGCGATTCTGATAATGATAGTAACAATAGTCAAAGTACATTGGCCATTGTTTTCTTTTTATTTGTTGGTGCTGTATTAGGTTTATCACTCGTGATGGTAATAATGTATATTGTTCAAAAACCCGCCCGGCTATATAATTCGCATGTAGCTGACAATAAAATAACATGTTTGAAATACATGGTTTGTCGTAATAAATAAACTTGTTTAATGATTACTTGTTAAAATTTAATCAATTTCATTGTGATAAAGTGTAATCGTTATGTTTTTATTTATATAAATAATTTTAGCTTGTTTATGTTATTGTAAAACATTTAATATATGCGTTTGTATAAAGTTTGTGATAATTATTATGCTAATAAATTATTCCTAATATTATTCTAAAAGTTACTGGCAAGTTTGTAAGTCATTATTATTTTTGTTAAATAATTTATTTCTTATATTATATACATTCTTTATTATAATTTATAAATAATTCATGCATAATATTCTGTAATACTTTTTTAATTAAAATGTAAATAAAAATAAATATAATATTTACGTTTATTTAACTTTGCATTGCAATAAGTGACGCAAGAATTTAAAGACCATGTAATCAATTATACAACAAAAGTTAATAACTAAACTCAAAAAGCAGAAATATATGGTAATTATTAAAATTCTTTAATTAGTTAATCATATATTAATATAAATTATGTTAATTTTATTAAACCATTAAGTTAAAAGAGAATATATTATCCAAAATAAGTTAAAACAACTAATAACTTATTATTAACTTAAGTTTGTGGAAAAATTATTTAGCAAGATCACTATGATTATTACTACCCCATGTACTCGAATGATATGCACTATCTTATACATGTGGCAATAAAAATAAATAATATTGGTCTAGCATCCACATTAAATTGTAGTTTCTAGAATATTATAATTATTGCTAACATAGTTTGACAATGACATAGCGTAAATGTAAAACAAACATGATAATTTAAATAATAAAATACAATCCAATAGTATAAAATATTGTACTAATAGTGATAACATACTTATGAGTCATAAGTATATCGGTATACATGTATAATGTATTACGTGTAAGTGGTGTTCAAACTGGGTCGACAAATATGACTGACAATCGGTACAACACAATCTCTGGCCAGCGATTCCCGAAGGTCTACCCAATCGAGTGCGTGGAGTACACTCTGGACTACAAGCCGGTAGCGGGCGATCGCATACTACTAACCATCCCTCGATCGGGCACTTTCTGGACCCAATACGTGGTCATGTGTTTGACGAGCGGCGGACGAGTGGCCGACATAAGCGCCGCTGATATCGACCAATGCTTTCTCGAGGCGAACGGCCCCCGAGCGCGCACACCCACCGGCCATTTGACCGGCGCTGACATCACTTTTCTATGCACTCATTGCGTGGAAGTGCTGTCCAAACGGGAAACTCCGGGCGTTGGGTATCTACTGGTGATCCGCAATCCAAAAGACGCGTTGGTATCCCTGTATCGCATGCTGAGCCAGGTTTACAGCGGAGATCTGGATTTCGGACACTTTCTGGCCGATTATTTGGCCGCCCGGCTGTCATAC